CACCGTCGCAACACCACCGGCACACCATCAAAACATCGCCGGGACACCATCGCAACATGACCGGGACACCATCAAAACATGACCGGACACCATCACAACATGACCGGGACACCATCAAAACATGACCGGGACACCATCACAACATGACCGGGACACCATCAAAACATGACCGGGACACCATCAAAACAGGACCGGGACACCATCACCATCCTGTTTCACCGCTCTTCAGGCTGACTCAGCCATCCTGAGATATGAACCTTGCCAGCGTTTTGGTGGGGTTTTTGTTGTTTTGTTTGTTGCTTTGTTTTGGGGGGCTTGTTTGGTTGCTTTGGTTTCGGTTTGCTGGCCGGTTCACTTCTCTTTCTTTTACTAGCTTAAGGTGACTTGCGCATAACCTGCACACATAGCGCCCCGACTCGTGCAAAAAAAAGGTGGCTAACATCTCGGATACACAGGTTACCATTCTCCACATGCACACTTTCTCGCATTGCCTACGGCTAAAAGCAGTGAGTCTGCCGTCAGTTTTGCGGGAAATTCGAGCGGACCTTGTCCTCCCAGGAAACCTTCGCTACACAGGCACAGGGCCTTTGGCGAATGCAGTGCGCTAGCCTAGGACATAGGATAACGGCGTTTCACCCTGTCTCACTCAGTTTCAAGAATGCATAAAGGTGGCACACCTGCAAGGCGCCAATCGACGCTCAACATCCTTTTGCCATTGCGCCAGTCGACAGCTCAATTTGGCTCCCTATGAGCGTTTTGAAACTTTTGCCTTTCTGTGACTCCCGTGGCAAAGCTCTTTTTGGAGTCACCGCCGCAACGTTGATGTGGAACACTGCCGTCTCCCCTTTGGGGGGGGAGATGCTGTCCTGCCGGAACGGTGCTGACTTGCACCCCACAACCACACTGTATGTCCTGGCTCCACTGTCTCTGGCTTTCGATGATTTGTAGTCTTCGGCAGCTGACTCAGTTGTTTTCCCTGAGCCGCAAGTGCCTCGCAGCTTGTTCCGGCAAATTAGTCGGCGAATTACTCGCGACTATTGTGATGTTGAATTTTGGGTTCTGGCCTGTCTTTGCTCTCGTTACCTTATGCACTGCTTACCCGTGTTCTGTGTGATGAAGCCTCATTTGAAGTAAGGAGCTTCGGCTGCCAAAGCTGGAAAAGACATCGCGCGTCATCGCACGGACAATGCAACAGATTCCAGAAGCGGTGCACGAATCAAACAGCCTCTTAGAGTGGAAAAAGGATTAAGACCGGATGATGAAGTACTGAGTGCAAAGGCTGAATTCATTGCCCCTATGTCACTATGTTTCACCTTGTTTCACCCTTTTCTACTGGCTGACGCAGCCATCTTGAGGTACGAACCTTGCCTTCTTTTGGGTGGGTTGGGTTTGTTTGTTTGGGTGTTGTTGTTCTGGTTTCGGCTTGCCGCTTGGTTCGTATCTCTCTCTTTACTAGCCTAAGGTGACTTGTGCATCCTCTGCACACACAGCGCCTCGACCCGTGCAAAAAAAGAGAAGGCGCGGCTTTCCATGGATGACTTCACAAGTCTGGCTTTCCATGGATGACTTCAGGCGCGGCTTTGCACTGAGTTGGAGATTCAGGCAACTTTGGGCAATTGAATTTGCAATGATCAATATCAAACATACAAGTAGCTGCAGGATTGAGGCAGGAAGTCATCAAACATCATCTTAATGATGAACGCGCGTGCCGCAAGAGTCATAATAGTCAAGCTATGTCACACTTAGTCACAGGCTCAACCAATTCCATAATCCACGAAAAAAAGGAGTGAGGGAACAGAAAGGCGAAAAAATCAGCTCACTTGGAAAGGTTGCAACAAGGTTTGAAATCACTCGCGACAAAGTGGCCTGAATAGTCACCTAACAAGCCTTAGTAAAAGAACGGAAAGGGAAAAAAGAAAACGAAGAGGGCAGGAGAAAAGGTAGGTGTAGGGGCACGAGCGGCAAATTATGGGCCAGAACCTGATTAGGTACCTAACAAGCCTTATAAAAGAAAGGAAGACAGAAAGTGCAAAACGAAGGGGCAAGAGAGAAAAATAGGGGTAGCGAAAAAAGGTGACTACTTAGCGCTTGACTATTTAGCCCTTGACGAAAAGAAAAGAAGAACTTCATTACAAACCTAAAAGCCCCTAGCGGAAAGGCAGACCTAGAAAGAGAAACGAACAAGCAGGAGAGAAAGAAACAAAGCGCAACCCGAGGGGCAGGGAAACGAACCTCAAGAACCACAAAGAACACCTATATATAAAAAACGATGAAAGCGCAAGAGAGAAAGCGGGGGAGGGGAAGGGGGAGGGGGGGGTATGTCCTTGTGTGTGAACATGTGTGTGTAGACTGTGAGCTGGGCAGCGTGAAAACCGGCCGCTTTGCGATCAGAAGATTCACCGGTGAAACAAAATAAAGCCAAACCAGAATCCACGATGGCGGAACTTCGAGTCAGTTAAAACGTGATCCACAATGGCTTCAGCGCCTCTCTTGCGAGAGGATCACACTGTGCAGGCACCCAGGTGGGAAAACACAGCGGTACACACTTAGTCACAGGTCTATCTAATTCCATAATCCACGGAAAAGGAGTGAGGGAACAGAAAGGCGAAAAAAATCAGCTCACTTGGAAAGGTTGCAACAAGGTTTGAAATCGCTCGCGACAGCGCATCTGCAGAAAGCGGCGGTAAGACATGTTTTGGGGTATATCGTGGAAGAGCGATGGAAACAAAACACAGCGAGAAGAGTAGTGTGGTATCACAGCGCAGGTACACACAGTTGATCAGACTGTGCATCCACAGAACAAGCGTAGCTTTGTTAGCCAGCGTTTGCTTGTGGGCCGCTGGCCCCTGCTCTATCAGTTGGGTGAAAGTGGAAAGTAGAAAGCGGCAGAACAAACTCCTGGAAACGGAGGGTGGCACACACACACACACCACAAGAAATAGTGCGTCCTCAGTTCGTGACCTTTCCCAAGATGATGCAACACATCCTTGATGTTCTCGAGTTGAAAAATGCAGAGCAGGTCTGCTACTGCTCGGATCTGGATTTGCTGGCGCAGCGGATCGGATGTAGATCTGAAACCGCGTTTTGCACCAACCACCGTCTTACGCCAACAACCACCGTTTGACGGCGACCGCCGTTTAACACCAACCACCGTTTTACACCAACCGCCGTTTACGCCAACCGGCGTCGTTTTTACACCAACCACCGGTTTACGCCACCACCATTTAACAACAACCACCGTTTATCGGCTACCACCGTTTAACACCAACCACCGTTTGTACACCAACCACTTTTGACACCAACCACCGTTGTACACCAACCACCGTTTGGAATTGATATTTCACTCCTAACCCTGGGCACTGATATGTCAATACAGACCCCCCCGCATCGTCCCGAAGTGGATCCAAATCATCGGACCAACAAATTTCTTTTGGGATGCAAGTGTACACGTTTTGTGGTTTGCTCCATGAACCTTCCAGCTTTTTTACCTTTCGTGCCTCCATCTTCTCACAGTGTGTATACAACAGAACGGGGTTCGTTCGCCCCAGTCATAAAGGGGCGCGTTCTGTCTTGAGAGCGCAGCGCGTGTTTTATTTTCTTTTTCGTTGATATTGAAGGTAGAACGGGGCTGTGAAGAGTATCGGACATGAAAAGAGTTTGGCCCTTAGCCCTAACCGTCAACATGTCTGCCGAGAAGTGGTTCCTGAGATTTTCCAAGAGGAGATAGGCCGTGACAAGAGTTGTAGTGACTCTTGTGCATGTGCCAGGAGGCGGGGCCAAGTTCAAATGTCACAGGTGCAGCAAAAGTTGGAAGGCAAGTCACAGGAGTTCATCTTGAGACGGACACAGCGACCCAGAGCTGAAAACAAATGTAAAGGATTGCAAGGCAGAGGCGGACCCGGCAGTGCAGAGCTGGGAGACAAATGTAGACACAGGGAGACAAACCTAAAGGATTACAAGCGACATGCAGCCCAAGCTGGGAGACAAATGTAGAGGAATGCAGGGCAGAGCAGTTGGAAGTGCAAGCGAGAGGCGGAGACAGGAGTCCAGTGTTGGGAGGCGCATGTAAAGGATTGCAAGGCAGAGGTGGACACAGCAGCCCAGACTGCAAGCGAGAGGCAGACATAGCAGCCCAGAGCTGGGAGACAATTGTATTGTATAAAGGATTGCAAGCGAGAGGGGGGACAAGTGAATAGAAATGCTGCATGGCCAGCGGAAAAGGGCGGACACCAGCAGTGACAGAAAGGGCAGACACATCCTAAGAAAGAATTGAGAACCCCTAACAGTAAACTGTTTGGGGAATCAATACAAATGCTACATGGCCAGCAGAACAGGGCGGACACCAGCAGTGACACAAAGGGCGGACAGATATTAAGAAAGACTTGAGAACCCCTAACAGTAAACTGTTTGGGGAAAAGTCGGGGTGCAGGTTTAGGAACTGGAGTGGGCATTTCAAAAAAACCGTGATTCGAACATTTTACAAAACGCTCATGAACTGTTGCGCAGTGGCCAGGTTGATTCATGCTGGCTGGTTATTTGATGGCTGGTTGGCTGGCTGACCGTTGGCTGGGTGGATGGAGCTGGAACGTTTGAAGTCGTTGTGCGATGTCGGCAATGTTGCCAAGATTTCAACCTGCACATGTTCCAACACACAAACGAAACAATTGATGAAACCTGGTGCATATATGACGCAAAAATCACCCTGCATGCAAGGAGGCACTTCGAACAATTTGGATGTTGTGTGCGTCGATCCAAATTCAAGTTGAAACACAAATTGCAATTTTCTTTTATTGCAGTTGTGTCTGTCAGTTGTGTCATTCAAGTTCAAGATCAATGACAATCATGGTCCGAGAACATGTATTGAACATGTTTTCAAACGACAGTGCGATGAAATTTACTCGTTGCAAAACACAATTTGAGATATGTATATATGTATAAATTGATTTTAATCGTCCAGTTTTCATTTCGATGCCATGGGTGGGCAACAATGCAAGGAGGGCATGGTCTATGTGTCCAACAAGACTTTGCCAGATGCTCACGCATCATCCTCAAACTTTGGCATAGTGAACTGTTTCAACATACCACTTGAAACGTTGTTACAAAAAACACGACAGACACCAGAATTAGTTAACATCAGTTTCAATTTGACATCAGGAGTTGTGCGAGATGCTGAACCAGCAAAGGCAGGGATGGCCACCCTTTGATTCAGTTCCATTAAATTGATTTCACAGTCGTTTGATCACCCCTGGTCATGATTCCAGACAAATCGTTGAGGGTAGTCTAGTTTAGATGTTTGCCTTGCGTTGCAAGTTTTGAAAACTTGGCGAGGCTCGAAGACGCAGGCGCTTATGTGATTTGTTTGAATGGGACTTTCTCAACCCACTCATGTGCAATTCCAAGTTTGTTTCTATGAATGCTGACGTCTAAGTTCTTGTTTCCATGTCAAGTTGGGACTGCCTTTGGCCAACGAGATCAGAGATGCCACTACTTGTTTGTCCAAAAGGAACATTGCACTGGTCACTAGTGGGTGGATGTTTTTCATTGCGGAATGACATATTGAGGTGCAAAAACAGAAGTTTCAGCAACAGCAACACAATGTCGTTGTTCATCCTGCTAATTGTTCACCTGTTGACTCATTTGATTTCTCCGTTGACCACGTGTGAACCGTCAGGTGCCGATGGCAGTTGTTCAAATACATCGACCCTGCAGGTTTGGGAGTCGCGGACTTTTACTGAAGGTCATGGCGTGGGCGAGCAGAATTCAATTCTTGTGAGGGTAGGGATAGAATATAATATAATACTTTCCCTACCGTGTCCGGGAGGCAGATGACTTAACGCGGCCGGATTCTCAGCTGTCCCAGAAAGACCAAGTTTAGCCGATGCCCTTCACTTTTCTCCGCTTGACGTGTTCGAAAATAGCCCTTTGATTCCGAATCTTTGACAGGGTGGGCAAAGACATCCACTTTCAGTCAACACATCAGATGCTTTCTACATCCTTCGATAAAGTTCTCGAGACAACTCCAAACCTTGGTGCCTTGGTGTGTGTAGTTGCGATTCACAGACCTTGTTGTATCCTTTTGTTTGCATGATATTTGCAACAGAAGAATGTCACAACTGCCCAAGCATAGTAGTGTGCAGGGTTCACAAGGTTATTGAAGCAGGGATGTTTGAAAGACAATTTCGATTTCTATGAAACTTGAGGCTTGAGGCAGAACTACTATGTTACCACTTTCTGTGAAACAAAGATTTCTGCTTGAAGTCTAAGACGCTCTAGGCCCAGCTGGGTGGGGCGTGGCGTGGGCATAGCACCTGTTGCTGCCGAACCTTCACAGCAGGAAGGTCGCAGGGTGTTTTGCTCCTAATAGCTTCTAGCTACTACTGTAGTAGTAGGTTACTACTTACCCCTTTTATAGTACTAGCTACTTGTTACAGCTCTCCTCATGGCCTACCTCCCCCCAAAGAAAGAGATGGTCTGATTTTTGTTCACTTTACATATTTCTTAAAACTCACCTTGTTGGAGCATGACTGGATTCTGTTTGGTCGTGTGAAGTCTGCCTATGGAAGCTTGTGCACAGGACGTGGAGATGCCCGTGCGACCTGGCCCACATGCCAAACACCAAGTGACCAAGTGCTTTTGCTCTTTTGTTCCAAAAGTTCAGCAGGCTTGGAAGGTGAAGAGCTATGGCTATAGGCTATAGTTCTTCGAGAATGCTCCCTTGAGGGCGGAGGGAGCTGTGTTGAAGAAGCCTGAGCTTGTTTGCATCCCTGTCTAGAGCTTCCAAGGTCTCTTGCTTACCCCTTACTACAAGTAGCTGTTTAAAAGAGCTGAATACTTATATATATATACTTGTTAGTTCCTCATGGCCTACTCTACCCAAAAAGGGGACAGATCTTGAACTGATCACAACTTAAAATTCGGCTCACAGGGACCTGTCGCCGTATCGCAGCGCACCTCTGAACAAAGCCATGGGTAAGGCGGCGAAGGGTGGAAAGAAGCTCCCCTCAGCGCCATTGGCGGACAAGAAGAAAAAGGCAAAGAAGAAGCTTGAATCATACAAGCTTAGCATCACAACCATTTTGTATAGCATAGATGATCAGGGAAGTAGGAGAGGTAACCGTTTTGACACACATTGTGACTCTTCAGACCTGTTTCGTTTGTGAACTCTTTGGACCTGCAGTCTTCATCTATCGAGCTTCAGTAAACCATCCTGTGCAGCTAGAAAGGTGGGTTCTGAGAATGTAAACACCACAAAACAAGGAACACGTCAACCCCTGCATACAAGAACGCTTTTCAAGAGTCCTGTACTCAACTGCCCTTTTACAATCGAATCTTGCAGGAGCTTTTTTCAAGCATTTTTTTGGGTTTAGTGCGTGTGGTACATGTACTTCATCTCTTTGGCACTTTTTCGTTTTCAGGCACTTTGTGTTTCACGTACCGTGTGTCCACCTGTGTCCGTGTTCACGCAGTGTTCTCAGGAATCCTCTCTTTGAGAAGGCACCCCGGAACTTCCGTCTTGGTGGGGACATCCAGCCGAAGAGGGACTTGACCCGCTTCGTGAAATGGCCCAAGTACATCCGCCTGCAAAGACAGAAGCGCATCATGCTGATGAGGCTCAAGGCAGAGAACAGTCTAAAGAAGGGATGGTAGGAGCTTCCAGTGTACACTTGACGAAGATACATGTGTTTTTTTGTTTGGAGCACCGCGCTTGCTTGGAGGTGCCTCCCGCCATCAATCAGTTCAACATGGCCATTGACAAGAATCAGGTGGAGCAGAACTTGAAGCATTTAACGAAGGGGATGTAGACGTTGCTGTGGTCCCCTGGTTTGTTTCACGGTGGTTCATGTACCTGAAGTTATTTCGTTCTAACTTGTTTGAGTTCCTAGAACTCTAAGCAAGCTCAAGGTGTCTCATGTTGTTTCGCCGTCACGTTCTTTTTGGTCATTTGTTTTACTCAGGCAGTTTTTCACTTAGGAAGCGTTGGGGTAGCATTTCGACCGAACGAACCATACCTCGAGTGTGCGTGTGTGTGTGCAACCTTTGGAGTCACAGGGATCCTGATGGATTTGTTTTGTTTTCCTTTTTCAGCAGGGGTTAGGTTCACTGGAACCTGTCGGGACCTTAGAGGATGTTTCTTCCTCCTCCTTTCCCTGTGGCCTAGGCCGTACGTACGATGATTTTTGTCTCATCTTTGGAATTCCAAGTGTGCTGATGCCTTTACGTGACCGCAGCGGTCCAAGCTGGCTTAACGCCCCAACGTGGTCAGAGCGACCGTAGTACTTTTGAGGTTCATTGGAACCTGTCGTGAACTTAGGTGCACACACAGCACGTACATGTTCAACGAGGCTTCTTTAATGAGGTTTGGGTTCATTGGTTTCCGTCCCCTCCACTTGGTTCCCTTTTCATTTTTTTCCCCTTCACACACCTCTGTTCTCCTCTTTTCTTTCATGTCCTCCTGTCTTCATGTCTTTCATCTCATCCCTTCTTTCGTTTGCGCGCACATTGGTCCCGGCCTTCGTGTGTACGTGCGCAACTGCAAGTACTTTAAACTCAGGTTTTAGGCGGCCCAGGTCTTTATAATGAGGTGGGTTTCATTGTTTGTCCCTGTGCACTTGGTTCCCCTTTCATCTCAACCACATGCACCTTTGTCCAGTCCCGTCCTCTTGTCATGTCTTCATTCTTTTGTCCCTTGCGCGCGCACACGTGCGCATTTGCCTTAACCTTAGTTTTCCGCCTCCCCTCGGGGAGGCGTGTGTGTGTAACTGTGGAACCCTTGGAATCACAGGGATCCTTTCGGTTTGCTTTTTGTTTTTTACAGCAGGGGAGTGCGGCGTGATTGTGGGACCGCACTCAACGAAGCTACCGCAATCACGGGATACCGAGTCTGATCAACTCGGCGTACCTGCAACTTTTAACCTTTGGTAAAGGGCTAATGCATCTGCAGATGTGAGCGAACCGCCGTCACTCTGTCGCTTCGTCTCCGACTTGCGAGTTTGGCCCCTTCACCGTTTGAGGACCCCGAGGCTCCAGTGGTTTCCTACTTGTACCCTTAGGAAATGGAACCCTAGGCCGGCGTGTGGCACCGCTTTCAGTTCCGTATGCATATCCATAAGTGTGTGAAAAGCTTGGAGTCATAGGGCTTCCTTTGAAGTTGCTGCTCTTCTTTTTCTTTTTCAGCAGGGAGCAAGGCCTCCAGCGATGAACGTTGTCCAACGAAGCTAAATCGCTGGAGGGGAAGCGGAAGGAGACGTCCATTCGTGCTTTGGTTGTGAGCCTAATTACAACCCTCCACTCGTAGAGGTTCCAGGCTGGTGCAGGATGATACAGGTCTGCGCATGTGCACTGTCGCTTTCGTTGCGCTTTCTGACCTTGGAGTTGGAGGCCTTCGAGGTTTCGAACATGTTCAGACCACCTTGTACTTACACCTGTCCTGGTTCCTGGGATTCATAGGTCATCTGTGTTTTAAGTTCTCTCGCAGGGGGCTAGCGGCCATTTCTCGACGCTAGCTAACGAAGCGCAGCTAGAGCAATGGGTGGGTGAGTCTTTGGACACACAGGCTTGTACATGCTTGAGAGCGCACGGACCCCCATCGTTCCCCTTGCTCAGGCTGGCGGGCGTGTGGCCAACCGCGCTCGTGCGTGTGTCTGTCCTAGTTCAGGGTGTAGCCGATGAGTGTCCCCTGTGACCCCGTTGAATGGGGGTTTGTCTACCGTATCCCTTGCCTGGATACAAAGCAGTCCGCAGCGGACAAAGCAGGCTTACGCCAAAGTTAATTGCCAAGACTTGAAGAAGAATTATTAAATACACGCAGGCAGGTTTTGAGCGGGCCAGAACGTGTCCGCAGCGGACTAGAGCAGGCTTTATGCCACAGGGTGGTCGCAGCTACCAAAGCTTGTTCAAGGTCCAGTGGGACCTGTCGTAACCTTAGGTGCGCGCACAGCACGCGCATTTTAAACGAGGCAGGTCTTCTATAGGTGGTTTTAATGAGGTCTGGCTTCATTGGTTCCCCCCCCCCCAATTTGGTTCTCCTTTTTCATCTTTTCCCCTCTCACACACTTGGTTCTGACAATGAGGTTTCGTTCGCCGTTTGTCCCTGTGCATTTGGTGCTCTTTTCATTGCAACCTCATGCACTTTTGTACCGTCTGTCCTCTTTCTCACGTCTTCATCTTTTTGTCCACGCTGCGCGCACGCATGCGCATTAGATTTTGCCTCCCTCATCGGGAGGTGTGTGTGAAACCCTTGGAACCATAGGGCTTCCTTTGAAGTTGCCGTTCTTCTTTCTCTTTTTCAGCAGGGGGGCAAGGCCTCCAGCGATGAACGTTGTCTAATGAAATTGAATCGCTGGAGGGGAAGCGGATGGAGACGTCCATTCGTGTACCTGCTTTGGTTGTGAGCGTTGTAACAACCCTCCACTCAGAGGTTCCAGGCTGTTGCAGGATGATACAGGTCTGCAGATGTGCGCGTTTCGTTGCGCTTTCTGACCTTGGAGTTGGAGGCCCTTGAGGTTTTGAAGATGTTTAGACCACCTTATACTTACACCTGTTCTGGTTCCTTGGATTCATAGGTCATCTGTGCTTTTAAGTTCTCTCGCAGGGGGCTAGCGGCCCATTTCAAGACGCTAGCTAACTCGAAGCTAGAGAAACGGGTTGGTGAGTCTTTGGACACACAGGCTTGTACATGCTTGAGAACACACGGACCCCTGTTGTTCCCTTGCTCAGGCTGTTTCAGGTCAACCAGGTTAATGTAGAGTGGAAACGCGCTCTGCAGTCATGCGCTCGTCGGTCGAGCCTTTGAGATTCACGCGATCGATCCTTTGAGATTCACGAGCTCAAGCTTTTGGAGGTCCACGTATCTCGCTTTTTTTACTTAGGCAGGCGGGTGCCAAATCGCATTCAGTTCCGTGTCTGGCTTCATGCTACCGACGAGTGTCCCCTGCGGCCTTGCCTAGCCTTGACGACCGGCTAGCCTTTGAGCGGGCCTCAGCCCGCCGTTTCGGTGTGGCAGTCCTTTCGGTCCGTTGGGACCGGTCCCAACCTTAGGCGCACGCACACAGTCCGTACTCACGCAAACCTACGTTCGCGCAAATGGTCCCCCCGGTTTCATCTCTATCCGCCCACGCACACACACGCACACTTTCTTTTCATGTCTTTTGTGTTTTCACGTCTGATTCTAGTGGGTGGAGGCCAGAGTTCAGGTTAAAGAACCCCTTACAAAGTTTAGAGGCCTACCTGCAACCTCTAGGAT